GATCACCTCCTGATCATGGAGGTCAGGAGTTCGAGACCAACCTGGCTACCATGGTGAAACCATGTTTCTACGAAAAACAACAACAACAACAACAAAAATTAGCTGGGCACGGTGATGCACACCTGTAGTCCTAGCTACTCAAGAGGCTGTGGCAGGAGAATCCTTTGAACCCAGGAGCTGGAGGTTGCAGTGAGCTGAGATGTCGCCATTGTGCTCCAGCCTGGGCAACAGAGTGAAATACAAAACACAAACAAACAACCCCCAAAATGAATCAAGTCATACACTTAAGATTGATATATTTTTCTGAATGTAAATTATGCTTCAAGAAACAAACCCTTCCATGCACAAAGTACTTAGGGTGACTTCTGCTTCCTGCAGTGAAAACCCGATTTTGGGAGAGGAGCCCTAGGACAAGAGATAGCAAGAGACTCTGAGAGCAAGCAGGGCACCAGCAATGTGGCAAGAAGCTGGGAGTATGGAGGGATGTGACCAGGGAGAAATCTGTGTTGGGAGAGGCCTATGAATTTTAGGAACTCTATATCTAACTGTCAAGGCATGTCATTGCCAAGCAGCCTGTGTCAGTGGCAGGCAACCAGCCACACAACGTCCTGAGGCCTGATGAGAGGGCTGCGCCAACTACAGGGCCAGACAGTCCCAGAGGAGTATCTGGCTGCAGCAGGGACTGACCCAGGAGCTGCTGTGAGCCAGGCCCCCTCCTTTTCCTGAGATCCCTGAGAGGTAAGCCAGGCTCATGGCAGACCCTATTATGTCCCACATCATGGCTGGAACCATCTCACATGGCTGGTCAAGGTAAGGATGACCCCAGGAAGCCAAAGGACTTGGATACTCTGTATTGTGGGGAAAAAAATACACTAAAAAAGTCACCAGCAGTCACCCCTGGGTGGTGGCATTATGGTTTTTTTGCTTTTTTGAGATGGAGTGTCGCTCTGCCACCCAGGCTAGAGTGCAGTGGTATGATCTTGGCTCCTGGGTTCAAGCGATTCTCCTGTCTCAGCCTCCTGAGCAGCTGGGGTTACAGATGTTGCCACCAAGCATGACTAATCTTTGTAGATGGTGGCATTATGAATATGGATTTTGGTTTTCTTCATCAAATATTTCTGTTTTCCCCACATTAGCTGTAAAAAGTATATATATATGTAAATAAGTTGACAGATTGAACAAATTGAACAGTTTAAAGAATAGCTGTATAAGTGCAGTGGAGTCTGCCTGTGGTCCTAGCTACTTGAGAAGTTTAGGCAGAAGGATTGCCTGAGCCCAGGAGTTCAAGACCAACTTGAGCAATGTGGTAAGACCTTTGTTTATTTTTAAAATAAATAAATAAAAAATAAAGAATAACTGTTTAAAATATTATTCAAAATGAATTCATAAAGGTGGGATTATATTTTTAGTCTCAGTTTCCCGAAGGACTCACACCTGAGAACATGACCATGTTTGGGGCTCTCTGGCACTATCTTTGGGCCTGACCTCTGCTCTCTAGGGGGAAAATGAGCTGGTGGTTGCTGAGTCATCATGTATGGGTCACATCCTCCTTGGGAGGCCTGGAGACATGGGCCTGTCTGTGATGAGATTTAGTGGGCAGGGGGCAGCTCCAGGGCCCTCACTGGGGGCAGCCTAGGGCATAGATCACTCTCTGGACTTGCTCTTCTCCTAACAAATGGACAATGATCAATGAATTATACCCATGAAATAGGGTGGGACACAATAAAAAATAAAAGATAATATAAATAGCCAGATAGGGTCAAAGATGATTTATTTTACTTTATAATTTTGAAATGACTTCAGATTTACAACATAGTTGCAAAAATAATGCAAATGTTTACATCTTACATAACCCAGTGCAATGATCCTAACACTGACAGATAATCGTTAACTAATCCAAAAGCCTTATTCGGATTTTGCCTGATGTCCTTTTTCTGTTTCAGGATCCAACAAGGTTCCCATATTGCATTCAGTTATCATGTCACTTTGGTGTCCTTTTCTCTGGAGCAGTCGCTCAGTCTCCTTGTCTTTCCTGACCTTGAAATTTTTGAAGAGTTATTCTGCAGAGCGGTGCTATCCAATAGAACTTCCAGCAATCATGGAAATGTTGTTAGTGTTGCTCACTATGAAGCCATTAGCTACATGAAAATAGCATTTGAAATGTGGCTCGTGGGGCTCAGAAACTGGCTTCTAAGTATTATTTAATTTTAATTAAAATAGCTACATGTGGCTAGTAGCCACTGTATTGGACAGGACAGCTGTCAAATGTCCCTCATTTGGGGTTTGCTTACTGTTTCTCTATGAGTAGTTTCAGATCATGAGCTTTTGATAGGAATACCATAAGCATGTCGTTGTGTTCTTTATCTAAATTTTTATAAAAGCTGTTGAGGGCCTGGTATGGTGGCACATGCCTGTAATCCCAGCACTTTGGGAGGCTGAGGTGGGCGGATCATGAGGTCAGGAGATCCAGACCATCCTGGCCAATATGGTGAAGCCCCATCTCTACTAAAATACAAAAAAATTAGCTGGGCATGGTGGTGCACACCTGTAGTCCCAGCTACTCAGGAGGCTGAGGCAAGGGAATGTCTTGAAACCAGGTGGCAGAGGATGCTGTGAGCCGAGGTTGTGCCACTGTACTACAGCCTGGGCGACAGAGCAAGACTCCGTCTCAAAAAAAAAAAAGCTGTTGACAGGTGACAGGGAACTGCCTAGTCAGGCAGTGGGATTGTTTTAATGCCCTTTGAGGTCCAGCAAAGAAAGGAGTGATAGCCACATTTGGAACCCTGTCCCGACACTTTCAATGTTCTTCCTCAAAGAATTAGATATGAAGCTGCTAGAGCACAGTGGGGAGCAGGCAAGATTGATTCTTGAACTAATCAACATTTATGCCCTCTTGGCTAAACTAGGCAGAGCTGGTTTTATTACAGTACAGACGTGAATAAGCACACTTTGTAAATGCTGAAGGTTGTGAAATATCCACAGGGCTATAAAGTACAGTAATAAAAACCTCACCTGAGGCCGGGCCTGGTGGCTCATGCCTGTAATCCCAGCGCTTTGGGAAGCAGAGGCGGGTGGATCACCTGAGGTCAGGAGTTCAAGACCAGCCTGGCCAACATGGAGAAACCCCCTCTACTAAAAATAGAAAAATTAGCCAGGGGTGGTGGCGTGGGCCTATAATCTCAGCTGCTCAGGAGGCTGAGGCAGGAGAATTGCTTAAACCCAGAAGTAGAGATTGCAGTGAGCAGAGATTGTGCCATTGCACTCCAGCCTCAGTGACAAGAGTGATACTCCGCCTCAAAACACTGGCTTTGGAGTCAAGCCTGTACTTAGGCATCTTAAGTCTTCTTTTTTTAAATTGCAGTATATAGTAACACATGACCTTCAGTGAGTGTACAGCTAATACATTTTTACATAGGCTTTAGCTCTGGTACCCACCACTCACATCAAGATGTAGAATATTTCCACTCCCCTAGAAGGTGTGCATCCCTCCCCTCCCCCAATCGACATCCCCCAGAAATTACCAGTATTTAATTTATACTTACGTAGATTCCTTTTGTCTGTTTTTGAACTTTATATGACTGGAAGCAGACAGAATGTGCTCTTTAATGTTTGGTTCCATTCACTAAGCACTATTTAGCTGCTGGTGCCCACTCAACTGTGGGAAGATCCTCCTATGTCTGTGTGTCAATAGTTTGTTCATTTTCACTGTGGTATACTATTCCACAGTGTGATTACACCATAGTTTGTCTTTCTGTTTTCCTGCTGATGACCATTTGCGTTTTCGGATTTTGCCTATCATGAATAAGTCAGTACAAACATTATCTAGGTGTATGTTTCTAGGTAGATATATACCCAGGGGCGAAATTGCTAGGTCATAGGATTAGCATACGTTTAACTTCAGTAACAACTGTCATTTTTCCAAATCTCTTTTTTCTTTTAAGATGAGGTTTCACCATGATGGCCAGGCAGGTCTTGAACTCCTGACCTCAGGTGATCCACCCACCTCAGCCTCCCAAAGTGCTAGGATTACAGGCGTGAGCCATCGCGCCCGGCTCCAAATCTCTTAAACTCTTTTTAAAACAGGAAGAATAAACCTACTCTACCTGATTATCGTGAGCGTATTTAATGAACTCTAAAGAATAAGGTTTTAAGCCTTGTGCCTGGAAGACAGTAGGTGCTCAATAAGTGCTGGCCTCTGCCCCAGCAGGGGAAAGGCGAGGCAGAAGGCAGGAACTGCGGGAGGTACCCGCCCCATACCGTTGGGCGGAAGAGGCCTCTCCCACGCAGCACTTAAGCCACCCCCAGCCTGCCCGTCAGCCAATTTGGCGTGCCTGCCTTGGGCCTACCCACCCTGCATTCCGTCGCCCGCTCCCGTTCCCACAGGCCCGGCGTGCGCGTCTCCTGCCTAGGCATCCTTGCCCCTGTGACTTCAGCGTCTCCCAGCGTTTGCTGGACACTAACTGTATGCCAGGCCATGAGGCCGCAGGAGAGAACGACACGAAGATCCTCGCCCCTCAAAGCTCCCGGCAGGAGGAGGGGCTGCTTCACTTGAGAAGCGTGGGGATGGAATTCTCGGCCCGCCAATGACTCGGAGGCCGGCCGCCCGCCTGGTTTCTGGCCGGACACTGGACTTCCCCTGGAAGTTGCTCGAGACGAACAAGGGAAGAAAACAATCCGCTCTCCCGCGCCCCCAGCAGGAAATCAGGTCGATCCTCCGAGCCTAGTCCTGTGTGTCCCCGACCCGCAAACCAAGGCCCAGCGCCCGCCCCCGCCTCTCCGCCCCTGAGCCTCCAGCCAATCACGCGCGGCCGGGAAGCCCCGCACCCTCCTGTTGGCCAATGGCCGCGCGGCCTGCCTGCCCCGTCCCGTCGCTGCGGGGAGGGTCGTAGGCCCCGCGCGGCTGTCGCCAGGTCGCAGGGCCGGGGCTACCCGAGGTAAGATCGCCGCTGGGGCCCTTGGTCCTCTCTGCTCAGTACACACGGACGCCTTTAGGGAAGGTGGCTGCAGCGGAATGACCGCGTCCGCCGGGGCGCCCTGAGTCTGGGGCGCTCGGGGTTCGGGAAGAGCCGGCCCTGAGGCGCACGGGGTTCGGGGACACTGAGGGCTCCAGGCGCCGCATCCAGCACCGGGGAAAAGGGGTAGGTGGCGCTGGGCGTCTGCTCTGTCTGGGGGAAAGGTAGAGCCGGAAGGGCACGGGCAGTGGCCGCTGACCTCCTGCTGCCCGCAGGCCCAGGGTGACTCTAAGGGGGGGCCGAATCTCGACGGGCCGCGCCTTGGGCTCGAGTACTGCCGCCCTCCCCTGGGTGTGGACAGTTCTCGGCGGCGACACCAGCTCAGAAGAGCTTCCCGGCGCTCCGCGGACCTGGGTCTCGCCCAGGAATCCGATCCGAGGCTGTGAGGCCTGTCCCTTTCGGGAGGGTGGGTATTTATTTCCGGGACGCACTCAGAGCCTCTGGACAGTCAGGTCGGAAACTTTGCTGCATCGAGAACACTCTGTCACCTCCTTCCTTCTCAGATGGGAGAGGTGCCAGGAAAACAATGAAACAAACCAAAACAACGAAGAAGGCATTCTCTGTATGGAAGTCGTGAAGCCTCAAAACTATCTAGGAGGACAGCCAACGACTTGGGACCTGTGGCCGCAATGTGAGGGCAGGGTTAATGTCTGATCTAAATGTTGCTTCCTCCCAAGTGCACCCTCAGCCTCTCCCCACAAGTGACCTTGGGCCCTCTTTGGGCTTGAAGGCAGGTGGCTCTGTGGGCCTCACTTGCTGCAGGGGTCTCTGTGCCCTGCAAGGTGTATGACCAGCTGCAGTGAGGTAGGAGATTCTGGGTTCAAATCCTGTGCTAGCCTCTGGCCAATTGTGCACCTTGGCATCACTTCCCCTGTCACGGGACTGGGGAAGGATTAACTAAAAGAACCTTAGGATGTGCTTGTCTACAGTTGGCCCTCAATAAATGTGAACAGACGTGGGCTTCCTTTCCTTTTGGTTGGGCTACATCATCCCCTCCCCTCCATGTGTGTTGTAGGGGCTGAGGCTAGAGTGCCTCATCTGATTGCCTCCTGGTACCTGGCTGATGCCATGAGAAAGGAAGAAGAAACAGTTTTTTTTTTTAATGGAGTCTCACTGTGTTGCCCAGGCTGTAGTGTGATAGCCTGATCTCAGCTCACTGCAACCTCTGCCTCCCAGGTTCTAGAGATTCTCATGCCTCAGCCTCCCAAGTAGCTGGGAGTACAGGTGTCTGATGCCATGCCTGGCTAATTTTTGTATTTTTAGTAAAGACCGGGTTTTACCATGTTGGCCAGGCTGGTCTCAAACTCCTTACCTCAAGTGATCTGCCTGCCTTGGCCTCCCAAAGTGCTGGGATTACAGGCATGAGCCACCATGCTTGGCCAAGAAAGGGGTCTATTAACTGCCACAGAGTTGGTTTTTGCTCTTTTTTTTTTTTTTGAGACGGAGTCTTGCCCTGTCCCCAGCTGGAGTGCAGTGCATGATCTTGGCTCACTGCAACCTCCGCTTCCCGGGTTCAAGTGATTCTCCTGCCTCGGCCTCCCAAAATGCTGGGATTATAGGTGTGAGCCACCATGCCCAGCACTTTGCTCATTTCTTGAAGGCTCAGAGCCTGACCCTCCTGAACTGTCCTTTGCACTTGGCCCACAAGGAATGCAGCAGTGCCTGGTGGTTGGCAAAGCAAGTTGTGCATGTGAGACTCTGAGGCCTGTGACAAGACTGTTTCCCCTGTGAGTAGGGTTTGGTGGCCCAGCAGCTTTCAGGTGCTGTCTGCTCCGCAGCACTGCCTCCTAGAGGTCTCATGCTTGCCTGATGCCCACTTGGTCCTCTTCTGCCTCCTTCCCTCCCTGACAGCCCACTAGGAATCCAATAGCATCTCAAGCTTCACTTGTTCAGAACTGAGTTCTGGAGTTCCTTCTGAGTCACTCCTCCTCCCCTGGCTTCTCTGCTCTGGTAAATGGGCACCTGCCATCTACCCAGTGCCTAAGGAGTCATCCTTGATTTTTTTCTCTCCCTTATCTCCTACACCCTCAAAACACCAGAAATCTGGCTGCCTCCTGCCAACTCTGTAGTTTCCATCCTGGCCATAATCATCCTGTCTCCTCGGCTGTGGCCTCCTGACTGGTCTCCCAGTTTTCATCCTGGCCCCTCCACAGTTCTCACAATTGTCAGAGAAGTCTTTAATGTAAATCAGATCCTCTTCTTTCCCTGCCAGAACCTTCCAATTGGTCCCTGTTTCACTCCAACTAAAACCCAGAGTCCTTTCCTACAGCACCCTACGTGAGTGGTCCCTTTTACCTCCTTGACCTTCATCTTGCCCCTCTCCCTAGCTTTCTTAACCTTGACCACACTGACCTGCTTTCTATTCTTCAAACATGCCAAGTTCATCCCACTTTAGGACTTTTGCATTTACCATGCCCTCTGCCAAAAACACCAATCTTCTCAGAGCCTTAGAACGGCTCAGCTGTGTTCTTAACACTAGTTCAGAAAGGCTTCTTTGACCCCCTAGTTCAAGTAGCATGCCTGTCTCCAGGGGATGTGTCTCTTTACCTGCTTTATTTTCTTTAGAACCTTTATTGCTATCTGGAATTCTTATTTGGGTAAGAATTTACTGATCTGTTATTTGTTCCGCACCGGTAGAATATAAATTGGATGTGGCACAGACCTTGTCTCTTATTCCCTGCAGCATTCCCTGATGGGGGAGGCAAAAAAGAAACAAGCAAAAACATCTATAATTGCAAATTGTGGTAACTCCTACTAAACAACTGGTAGCAATAGCTTATATTTGAGGCCCTTAATTTTTTTTTTTTTTTTTAGACAGAGCTCCATTCTGTTGCCCAGGCTGAAGTGCAATGGCACGATTTTGGCTCACTGCAACCTCTGACTCTCGGGTTTAAGCAATTTTCTTGCCTCAGCCTCCTGAGTAGCTGGGATTGCAGGCGACCGCCACAATGCCCAGCTTAGTTTTTTGTATTTTTAGTAGAGATGGGGTTTCTCCATGTTGGCCAGGCCGGTCTCAAACTCCTGACCTCAGGGGATCCATCTACCTTGTCCTCCCAAAGTGCTAGGATTACAGGTGTGAGCCATGGCACCTGGCTGGCACTTAAAATTTTTAAACTTAGGCCGGCCACAGTGGCTCACACCTGTAATTCCAGCACTTTGGGAGGCCAAGGCAAGCGGATCACTTGAGGTCAGGAGTTCGAGACCAATCTGGAAAACATAGTGGAAACCCTGTCTCTACTAAAAAATACAAAAATTGGCCAGGCACGGTGGCCCACAACAACAAACAAAAAAGTTAGCCAGGTGTGATGGTGGGCTCCTGTAATCCCAGCTACTTGGGAGGCTGAGGCAGGAGAATTGCTTGAACCTGGGAGGCGGAGGCTGCAGTGAGCCTGGATCACACCACTGTACTCCAGCTTGGATGACAGAGGGAGACTCTGTCTCCAAAAAAAAAATAGACTTATAAGGCTGAGTTACTGTACTGTCAAAACAAGCTATCTGAGCCATTTTAAGGGTGAGGAAAAGTCTGGAAACTGGTAACTTGCCCAGGACACACAGTGAATTCAAAGCATGGAACTCAGTCTCCCATCTTAAGAATGTATGTGGGCCGGGAGCGGAGTCTCACACCTGTAATCCCAGCACTTTGGGAGGCCAAGGTGAGTGGATTACCTGAAGTCTGGAGTTTGAGACTAGCCTGACCAACATGGAGAAACCCTGTCTCTATTAAAAATACAAAATTAGCCTAGCATGGTGGCACATGCCTGTAATCCCAGCTACTTGGGAGGCTGAGGCAGGAGAATCCCTTGAACCCAGAAGGCAGAGGTTGTGGTGAGCTGAAATTGCACCATTGCACTCCAGCCTGGGCAACAAGAGTGAAACTCTGTCTCAAAAAAAGAGAGAATGTATGTGTAGCAGGCTTTAATGGCAGGCCTGCAGCTATGTCATGGAAAGAAGATGCCCTGAAGATCTCAGTTCTTTGCTCTTCTACTAACTAGCAAGCATACCTCATTTTCTTCTTTAAAGTAGGATGAGCCTATTATTATCATGTTGGGCTTCACTTTTAATTTTTTCAGTATGTCCCAAAGCAGCAGCACTTTTAGGTACAGCCCTCTTGCCTATCAGCTTGAGGGCCTTAGAGCCAGGAGGAAAGCCAGGACATTCATAGGCACCGAAACTATGGTTACATACAGATCCCTCTACCACATGTGCTAGGAGTACACGCAGACCTCCCCAATGCTGACCACCCTACAGGACAGAAATGGGCCCTAGGTATTCTGGATCTGATTCTTTTTGGTCATCAACTATTTTATTTTTTATTTTTTTTAGAGACAGGGTTTTGCTGTGTTGCCCAGGCTGGCCTCAAACACCTGGGCTCAAGAGATCCACCTGCCCTAGCTTCTCTAGTAGCTGCTGGTCATCAATTCATTTTTAGCAAATTCTGCGGGAACCTTGGAGAGACCCAGGCAGTAATAAAATAGGATGTTTAAAGAAACTAAAGATGGCTGAGCACAGTGGCTGACACTTACAATCCAAGCTACTTGACAGGCTGAGGCAGGAGGATCACTTGAGGCCAGGAGTTTGAGACCAGACTGGGCAATATCACAAGACCCTGTCTCTAGAAAAATTTTAAAAATTAGCTGGGTGTAGTGGCACAAGTCTGTAGTTCCAGCTACCTAGAATGCTGAGGCGGCAAGATTGCTTGAACGCAGGAGTTTGAGGCTGCACCACTGCACCCAACTGGGGTAACAGAGTGAGACCCCATGTCTTAACAACAAAAAAGGTGGGCGTGGTGGTTCACGCCTGTAATCTCAAATCCTGGGAGACTGAGGTGGGTACATCACTTGAGGTCAGGAGTTTGTGACCAGCCTAGCCAACATGGTAAACCTACATCTCTACTAAAAATACAAAAATTAGATGGGCATGGTGGTTCACACCTATCATCTCAGCTACTTGGGAGGCAGAGGCAGGAGACACAATTGAACTCAGGAGGCAGAGGTTGCATTGAGCTGAGATTGCACCACTGCACTCCAACCTGGGTGATGCTGTCTCAAAAAAAAAAAAGATTTAAAAATGAAAGAAAACAAAAATTCCAAAAAGTTGAGAAATAATTGCCTTTTGTCCAGCCCCACTCCCAACCATGTGTAATATGTGATCTGTTTTCTTCCAGTCTCATTTCCTGTCCGTCCATCCACCCTTCATGGGGCCAGAGCCCTCTCTCCAGAATCTGAGCAGCAATGCCGTTTGCTGAAGACAAAACCTATAAGTATATCTGCAGACATTTCAGCAATTTTTGCAATGTGGATGTTGTAGAGATTCTGCCTTACCTGCCCTGCCTCACAGCAAGAGACCAGGTGAGCCAGCAAAATGACAGCCAGACACTGGCCTGGGGACAGGGCTGTGGAATCCAAAGCTCAGCCCCATCCTAGTTCCTCCCCCAAGCCAGAGCCGGCTCCTTCTCCCTCTTGCTGTGTCTTGTTCCTTGTCCTTGCTGCTTTTCTAACTTTTGGATGAAGTGTGGCTCAGGGTGGCGTTGCTGACTTCACCGAGCTCCCCCTTGTGTTGCTTTTGCGAACTGCTCAGAAATATGGTGCTGGCTCTCCTGAGATTTCCTGGCTCTGGTCCACTTGCCCACTGTTTTTAGAACCTTCTGTTTCCTTCATCTCTCTTGCCGTGCCTTGTCCTGCTCAGTTTTGATTCCATTCTCCTTGTCATGGGGCCCTGTCCTGGCAGGGAGCTGAGACTCAGGTTTGAGAGCTGGCAGGAGCCAGGTCGCTCTTGCCCCGGCACTTGCTAGCTGGTGAAGTGGGCACAATCTCTCCCCATTCAATTGTAGCTGCTGTTCTCAGGTTGGACCCCTGTGCTCCAGAGGGAACCTGTTGGCTCTTTTGGGGACTCCTGTCCTCAGGTTTCTCAGGAGCCCTATTGTCTCCGGCATCCTCCACACAGATCGAATCAGTATGCAGGTCTGTTTGGGGTTTGCCCCTCCCTCTTGTATTTTGGGAATTATAGGGATATCTTGTTTTGTAGTAAATATTTTCTGTGGGTTTGATTTTCTTTTTTTAATATTTTTTGAGATGGACTCTTGCTCTCTCGCCCAGGCTGCACTGTAATGGTGCAGTCTCAGCTCACTGCAACCTCCACCTCACAGGTTCAAGTGATTCTTGCACCTCAGCCTCCCGAGTAGCTGGGGTCTCAGCCACGTGCCACCATGCCTGGCTAATTTTTGTATTTTTATTTTTAGTAGAGACAGGGTTTCACCATGTTGGCCAGGCTGGTTTTTATTTTTATTTTCGAGACAGGGTCTTGCTTTATCACTCAGGCTGGAGTGCAGTGGCACGATTTTAACTCATTGCAACCTGTGCCTCATGGAGTCAAGAACTCCTCCCACCTCAGCATCCCAAAGTGCTGGGATTACAGGTGCAAGGTGCAAGTCAACATGCCCAGACTATATATATATATATATATATATGTTTGGGGTTTTTCTTTTGCCCTAGAAGCTGTATTTTTTTTACATTTTTAATTTTTTTTAAAGAAGGGGTTTCACTATGTTGCCCAGGCTGATGTCAAGCTTCTGAGCTCAAGTGATCCTCCTGCCTTGGTTTCCCAAAGTGCTGGGATTACACAGGCATGAACCACCACACCTGGCCTGTGGGTTTTCTTTATTTTACTTTATTTTAGTTTATTTATTGACTGGGTCTCACTGTGGTGCCCAGGCTAGAGTTTAGTGGTGTTGCAATCATGGCTCACTGCAGCCTCAAACTCCTGGGCTTAACTGATCCTCCCACTTCAGCTCCCAAATAGCTGGGACTGCAGGTGTACACCACTATACCCAGCTAATTTTTGTATTTTTCTTGATTTCGAACTGCTGGGCTTAAGCAATCCTCCTGCCTTGGCCTCCCAAAGTGCTGGGATTACTGGTATGAGCCACCACAGCAGTATACATGCGCATGCATGGGCACACACACACACACACACACACACACACATATGCTTTGAGATGGGTTCTCACTGCCACACACATTGGAGTGCAGTATCTTGGCTCGCTGCAGCCTCCGCTTCGCAGGCTCAAGCGATCCTCCTGCCTCAGCCTCCCCTCCTGCTGGGATTACAGGCATGAGCCACTGTGCTCTGCCTGTTTTTTATTTAAAAAATATTTTCCTTTTTCTAAAATCTAGCTCCTGCAGGATTCTGTGGGTTTTTGTTTCTGCTATCGGGTTGCTTGTTTTTATGTGGGAATTCAGGTAGATATAAAAACTCTAGGGCTGGGTGCAGTGGCTCATGCCTGTAATCCTAGCACTTTGGAAGGCTGAGGCGGGCGGATCACCTGAGGTCAGGAGTTCAAGACCAGCCTGGCCAATGTGGCGAAACACGTCTTTACCAAAAATACAAAAAAATTAGCTGGGCGTGGTGGTGGGCTCCTGTAATTCTAGCTACTTGGGAGGCTGAGGCAGGAGAATTGCTTGAACCTGGGAGGCAGAGGTTGCAACGAGCGGAGATTGCGCCACTGCACTCCAGCCTGAGCGACAGAGCAGAACTCTGTCTTAAAAAAAAAAAAGGAAACAAACAAAAAAAACTGCAGCCACTGTCATCTGCCCAGAATCTCCCCAGCATTCTCAGCTTCCTTGTTTCTTATTGTTGGCCCCCTCTCTTTCCTTCTTTCACCCCTTCATCATACTTTTGCTATCTACCTTTTCCTTCTCTCCTAATCCAAAGCTTTCCTTTTGCCCTGGGGGCCATATAAACCCAGGGCTTTTGTATCAGATTAATTGGCTTTGGATTCCTGCCCCACTGTTGTAGGATGTTTGCTATAGTACTTTGCTTCTGCTAAGTAAAGTGGGGATTGTAATGGCATTAAATAAGATGATGCATGCAAAGCCCTTAACGGAGAGCTCAGGAATTAGTAACTGCTAGTTTCTGGCGGCTGCCAGTTTCTTAGCAGCTATTGCTGCTAATTGCTCTTCCTCACTCCATACCTGGCCTTGTCCTGGGCTCTGATCCAGTTTTACGTGGCCGCCTTGCTCTTGTGGTTTTCTTGACGCCCCCACCCCCACCCCCAACCACCGCTGTGGCTTCATTCTGTGTAGGGAAGTGGCTGGGGCTGCCTGGCTTGAGCAGGACAGTGGCACTATATCTTCCAGGATCGACTGCGGGCCACTTGCACACTCTCAGGGAACCGGGACACCCTCTGGCACCTCTTCAATACCCTTCAGCGGCGACCCGGCTGGGTGGAGTCCTTCATTGTGGCCCTGAGGGCCTGTGAGCTGTCTGATCTCGCGGATGAAGTGGCCCGTGTCTACCAGAGCTACCAGCCTCGTGAGCATCCTGTCCTGACTCTCCTTCTGGAACCCCGGCCTGCTCCTTGGCCTCTGCTTTCCCTTCCCCTCTCTGTACCTCCTGCCTTTCTCTGTCATCCTCCTTGTCACACTGAAGCAGTGGATAAACCTGGGTGTAGAGCCAGGCTGAACCACTGACTAGCTGTGTCCCTTTGGCCAAGTCCCTAAATTTCCCTGAGCCTCTCCTCTGTAAAATGGGGCTCATGGCAGCGTCTGCCAAGAGGAGCTGCAGTGGGTGACACCATGGGAAGATGCGTGTTGAGTGTTGACCTGGGCTTCGCACTTCCTGTATGCCCAGCACATGGGGTCTCCTCTAATTTTCACGGCTGTAGCGTTTGCCTCCCACCCTTCCTCATTTCTTCTTCCCAACCTACTTGTTTACCCTCCCTCTCTCCACTTTCTCTTCCCCTCCCCTGGTTTACCCTGAGAGCCTTCTATGCCCTCTACCAGCTGTCCAGTTATTCCTTTAGTCCCTCTCAGTGTCCCGGCCATTCTCAGTGCTCAGAGGGGATTTGGTGAGATGGAATCTGATCTCGAGTGAGATCAAGACATGGGAAGAAAAATCAAGCCAGTTCTATTTATATTTCAAACTAGAGGCAACCCTCAAGACCCTGACCACATTTTTGTTTTTGAGATGGTGTCTTGCTCTGTTGCCCAGGCTGGAATGCAGTGGCATGATCTCGGCTCTCTACAACTCTGCCTCCCAAGTTTAAGCGATTCTCCTGCCTCAGCCTCCTGAGTCACTGGGATTACAGGCACTCGCCATCATGCCCAGCTAATTTTTATATTTTTGTAAAGATAGGGTTTCACCATGTTGGCCAGGCTAGTCTTGAACTTGTGACCTCAGGTGATCCACCTGCCTCAGCCTCCCAAAGTGCTGGGGTTTCAGGTCTGAGCCACCACACCCAACCCCTGGTCACATTTATAACTGTGGGAAATCCATGTTTTCTTTTCTTTCTCTCTCTCTCTCTTTTTTTTCTCCATTTTAGAGACAGAGTCTTGCTCTGTCAAGCTGGAGAGCAGTGGTGCAATCATAGGTCACTTCCACCTTGACTTCCTGGGCTCAAGCAATCCTTCCACCTCAGCCTCCAGAGTAGCTGGGACTACAGGCATGTGCCACCACACTTGGCTAATTTTCAGAATTTTTTTGTAGAGATGAGGTCTCACTATGTTGCCCAGGCTGCTCTTGAACTCCTGGGCTCAAGCGGTTGGCCTCCAGGAGTGCTGGGATCATAGGTGTGAGCCACCGTGTCTGGCTCTCATGTTTGCTTTTCTTTCCTTTTTCTCCTCCTTTCTTCCCCCCTCTTTCTTCTTCCCTTCCTCTCTTTCTTCCTTCCTTTTCCCTCCTTCTTTTTAACTATGTCTCTTGATGTATGGAGATTATTAATAGTGATCCCCTGACTACAATGGCTGTGGAAGGGCCTGATGGGTGGTGGAGGCAAAGGGGAGGGGCTGAGGCGGCAGCATCAGGGCAGGGGTCAGTGAGCAATGACAGCCACGTGGAGGAGAAAGCCACTGGGTCCCAGGATGTCTGGGGACAGAGGAGGGTGACTGCTGACATGGTCTGGGTGGTGAGAGACCCATGATGCCCCCCCCCGCACACTCCCCCTGCTCCCTTGCTCCCTGGTCCTCCAACTGCTCTCTCCTTCCCACTCCTGCCCCCTTGCCAGTGATGCTTGTTACTCTGAGGAGTGGACCCACATCAGAACAGCTTTTGGACCTATGGGTGGGACAGGGGGGTGTACCCAAGAGCACCCAAGCCTCTTTCATCATGAGGAATACCTCTGATTCCTTCTTTTCTTTTTTTTTTTTTTGAGACGGAGTCTCAGTCAGTCACCTAGGGTAGAGTGCAGTGGTGTGACTTTGGCTCACGGCAGCCTCTGCCTCCCAGGTTCAAGTGGTTGTCCTGCCTCAGCCTCCCTGTAGTTCCTGATTCCTTCTTTCCACCCTGCCTCCGCAGAGCAAGATGGAATCTTGTTCTGTTGCCCAGGCTGGAGTACAGTGGTGCAATCTCAGCTCACTGCAGCCTCCGCCTCCCAGCTTCAAGCAATTCTGCCTCAGCCTCCCAAGTAGGTGGATTACAGGCACGCACCACCATGCCCCACTAATTTTTGTATTTTTAGTAGAGATGGGGTTTTACCATGTTGGCCAGGCTGGTCTCAAACTCCTGACTTCCCAATCTACCCACCTTGGCCTCCCAAAGTGCTGGAATTATAGGCATAAGCCACAGCACCCAGCCCCTGATTCCTTCTTGATATCACTGCATCTTTGTCCTCCAGGGACCCCGGAACATCCTCCAGCCCCACTGGAGGCACCGTCAGTTTCTGCTGAGGTACCAGGACCCTCCACGCCTGCTGCAGCCCACAGCATCCCCTACAATGGCTACAGAGAGAAGGAGCCAAGCTACCCCATGCCTGTCCAGGAGTCCCAGCCGCCAGAGTCCCTGGAAGAGGTCTGTCCTCACAGTCCACCTTGAGCCACCTGCTTTTGCATTCCTGTCTGCCCACTTCTGCCCATGAGCCTTCCTCCAGAAACCCCCTCCTGTCCACTATAAATTATGCCTAATCTCTGCTCAGAAACCCAAGGCTTCCTTAGTGGAGTTCTGCCCCAGACCAGCTTCCAGACTGCTGACCAGGTTTTCACCCTGTGGCAGTCTAATCCTCTGTCACCAACCAGCTGGGAGATGACAGGTTTTTTTGTTTTTTTTTTTGTTTTGAGACAGTGTCTCGTTCTGTCACCCAGGCTGGAGTGCAGTGGAGCGATCTTGACTCACTGCAAACTCCGCTTCCTGGGTTCAAGTGATTCTGCTGCCTCAGCCTCCTGAGTAGCTGGGATTACAGGCACCCACCATGATGCTGTCTAATTTTTGTATTTTTAGTAGAGATGGTGTTTTGCCATGTCAGCCAGGCTGATCTCAAACTCCTGGCCTCAGGTGATCTGCCCACCTTGGCCTCCCAAAGTGCTGGGATTACCAGCGTGAGCCACCGCCCCTGGCTGGAGACCACCACAGTTTTGAGGTCTTTGCAATGTTCCATATGAGATGTTGCATTGGGTGGAGGAACCCAGGGAGGGGCCAGATGAGGGAGAGTGAGGGAGCAGGCAATTATGGGAGCAGGGGTGATTGGCGGGACTGTCATTATTGCCAAAAGGTCAAGTTTGGGGGAAAGATGACCGATTCTATGAAGATAAATGAGTGGGCAGTGGGGTGTCCAGGAGACACCAAACCATGAACCTGAAGCCTAAGAAAGGGATCTGTGATCCCCTGAACACAGTGGCTGTGGTAGGGATAGGATGAATGGAGGTGGGAAAGGGGAGGGACAGAGAAGGCAGCATCAGGGCAGGGATCAGCTAGCGGTGACAGCCATGGGGAGAAAACCAGTGGCTGCCGAGAGGGAGATCTTTCTTCAGGGCCACACAGATAGACAGGGAGTCGCCCAGGGATGCTGTGTGTTTTCTGTGAGGTAAATGCAAGGACACCTGTGGACAGAGGGTCTGGCAATTACCAGAACCCAAGCAATGGCTCCCTGGCTCCTGTGCTTCATGGTGTGGGCTGAGGTCTGTAGGAGACGTCCCAAAAGCACAAGCTGCCCTTTGCAAGCTCTTGGGAGAGGTAACTGCCTTATTCATATTTTCCCTCTTGCAGAGTTCAGAGCAAGCCCCGCAGATGCTCAGTCCCGGAGCCATCCCAAGGAGGCCAGGTGGTGGCCCTGTGGAGCCCTCCGCTGACCTGGCAGCCCTTAGCCCTGTGACCTCCAGTGGGCATCAGGAGCAGGACACAGAACTGGGCAGTACCCACACAGCAGGTATGCATGGAATCTGGAATTATAGGGCCCGTCCGATCTCTCAAGTGAAGGCGAGAATTAGAGATGCCCCTCTGGCTTCCTTGAATAGGAGGCAAGGTGGGAATAAAGGGAGTTCAATGCAGGAAGCAAACCAGTTCCTTATAGGGTGTATCAGTTAGCATTTGCTGTGTAACAAATAGTCCACTCCAGTTTTCCAATTTTTGTTTTTTTTATTAGCTTAAAATGCAGCCATTTATTTAGCACACGATCCTGTGGGTCAGCTATTTGGGCTACCTATCTGGGAAGTTCTTCTGGTCTTGGCTGAAATTCTTCTCAAGTACTCACTGGTATATATATAAGTTCTGCCTCTGGCTATTGGCTGAGCACCTTGGTTCTCTTCTTTGTAGTCTCTTGTCCTCCACCACACAAATCCATCATGGCTGCTGGGCGGAGTTCTGAGACAGACAAGAGAGGGCTCAAAACTAGCACAATGTCCCTGTGCCCCATTCTGTGGGCAAAAACAAGTTATAAGGCCAGCCTAGATTCAAGGAATAGGGAAATAGACTCCCTCTCTAGACAGGAGGACTGACTGGGACAGCGCAGAGGGGCTGGGTGGAGGTGGGCGAGATAAGTAGGGCCGTTTTTGCACTCTGTCAAAGAGACTGTAGGGAGCAACTAGGGCCTGGAGGGTGGTGGGAGAGGGACAGTGCAGGCCTGCACCAGCTATTGGCAGGGAGGCCTTTAGGCACTGCCTTACCACAAAGAGATCGCAATTCCCAGTGAATCCCAAAAACTTCTCAGTCCCCAGAGGAAGTAAGGTCATCATCCAGGGGCCTGGACCCCACTCCAGACCTCAGTGCTCCCCTCAGAAATATATAGTTGTCCGCCTGGACCTCTCAGGCTAGCATGTCTCTCTCCTGCTTTCCAAACTGTTTCACATGACGCTGGTGCCCCGTCAGCCCTCAGTGCCCTGGGACAGCCACAAGGCACATGAGCAGTTAAAGGCTAGGAGACATCATCTCAGTACTTTTGTCATCCCCAAACTGCTCCAGGCACCTGTCTCTGCTTTGCAGTGTCACCTGGCCATGGGATGCCTTTTGGGAGTTGCTGTAGACTATGGAGACAGAAGGTGATTAGGTTTCAGTAGGTTTGTAGACACAGGTCCCGTGAGATTCTATGGTGTGAGATTGTGGTGGTTGGGGTGTACATCAGAATCACCTTGACCTGTGCCAGCTGTGGGGCCTGGCATGTGCATTCCAAGTTCCATGGAGAATCCTGCTGCAACCCTTTATAGACCATCACCACCTGCTACACCCTGCTTCCCCAACACGGGTCAGGCAGCCTCCCAGGGGTGGCTTTGTCCATGTCCCCGCTCTTCCCAAGCCTCTGGGATGGCCGGGCCTCTCGGCTGGTCTGAGCTGTTCTGCCTAAGCCATCCTGCCACCCCTCACCCTGTTTCAGGGCTGTTCCCACTCGTGGTGCTGGAGGAGGGACAGCAGTGGGGGAAGTATCCAGGATTCCATGAGGCTAAGGTCAAGGGGAGGCTTCCCAGGTGGGAGAGGAAAAAGCAGAGAGAATAATAAATAATGATCTTCAAGCTCCAAGGTACCATTTCACTGTGTGTCAGGGTAGACCTGGGGGTACAGATCAAGGACTGAGGGCAGCTGTTGGGCTTTCAGGCTGGGAAGCAGTGACCAAAGGGACTGTGGCATCTCCTCCAAGGGCAACAGATTTGGAGGCCTAAATGCAGTAGGAACCATGAGACCTGGAGCAGAGGGACCCTTCTCCAGGCCTGAAGGTAACAGTCTTTGAGTCTGTGTTTCCACTTGTGTTTTACCACCTGCAGGTGCAACCTCCAGCCTCACACCATCCCGTGGGCCTGTGTCTCCATCTGTCTCCTTCCAGCCCCTGGCCCGATCCACACCCAGGGCAAGCCGCTTGCCTGGACCTGCAGGGTCAGTTTCTACTGGTACCTTCTCCTCCTCATCCCCTGGATTGGCCTCTGCAGGGGTTGAAGAGGGTGACCAGCCCGAGCCTGTCATCTGCTCCAGTGGGGCAGAGGCACCTGCCAACTCTCTGCCCTCCAAAGTGCCTACCACCTTGATGCCTGTGAACACAGTGCCCCCAGAAGTGCCTGCCAACCCAGCATCTGCCAGCACAGTGACCTCCAAGTTGCCACCTAGCTCAAAGCCCCCTGGTGCCGTGCCTTCTAATGTGCTCACCAATCCAGCACCATCCAAATTGCCCATCAGTTCAACCCGTGCTGTCATGGTGCCATCCAAAGTGCCCAGTAGCATGGTGCTCACCACAGGGAATGCCAGCACAGTCCCCACCAGCAGGAGCAGCAGAGCTGAGGTGAGTCCTCGCCCTCCTAGCAGGGATCCGGGCCCCTTCCCCTGGGAGGGCTTGCCCACCTGGCCCTGGCCTTGGCCCCTTCCCAGTCTGCATTCTGTCTCCAGCCTGAGCTGCTCTGTGGCCTCTCCTTGTGGGCTGAGAACCAGCCTTATCCAAGCCCACACCATGTTCTCCAGGAGGAACAGTCATTACAGGTCCTAAGTCTGGACACCTCAGGAGGGTCAGCCACGGGGGACACCCCACTGGTCAGGGGCATAAGTTCATTTAGGGTTCATAGCTCCTAGTAAAGCCGAGCAGTGCTGTTTTGCACCAGGAAGCAGTGAGGGGGAGAGTGCAGTGGCCCGTCTGCCTTGTGCCTTGCTCTTTACCACCAGGGTGCCCAGCCTGCCCCTCCATGGCCAGGCTTTACAGAACACAATCCCAGCCTGGAGCAGCCACTCTGACCCAGCAGCCCCCCATCGCTGCCTGCTCCAAGCCTCACATCTAACTCTAGCTTCTGCTGGGAGGAACCTAGTCCATAGGGCCCTTTGGATGCATGGCGAGGCCTCTGACCCTGTGGCTGCTCTCTGGTTCTCAGGCCCAAGCAGGATGTCAGTGCAGGATGGGGCCCCGTTTCCAGGTGGGCATGAGTTACAGGCCAGGGAGTAGGGAGAGGCTGCCCTGGAGGAGGCCACTATTGGTGCAGCGCCTTGGTCCCGTCTTCCCACTGCTCCAAGAAATGTTGACCTCGGGCCTTAGAGACTGGGAATTGAGCAGTTGGAGTATTAGTTCATGACCTGGCTAGGAATGAGACCAGCCTAGCAGGCTTGTCTCCCTGCCAACCCCCAGTCCCTTCCAGTGCTTTCCTTTCTTTCCCAGGAGACCCCAGCAGCTCCAACACCTGCAGGTGCCACTGGAGGCAGCTCAGCCTGGCTAGACAATAGCTCTGAGAATGGGGGCCTTGGGTCGGAGTTGAGCAAGCCTGGCATGCTGGTATCCCAGGTAGACAGCCTATTCTCGGGCTGCTCTGAGGATCTTGCCATCAGTGCCAGCAGCTCCTTGGGCGTGGGGCCCTGCCATGGCCCAGAGGAGAATGAATACAAGTCCGAGGGCACCTTTGGGATCCACGTGGCTGAGAACCCCAGCATCCAGCTCCTGGAGGGCAACCCTGGGCCACCTGCGGACCTGGAGGGTGGCCCCAGGCCACACACCGACCAGAAGTTCCAGGACGAGGAGGTGCCATGCCACTGGTCCTCGCTTGGGTCTCCGTGGCTCCAGGCAGCTGTGGCAGGGGTGCTGGCAGCCATACTCCTGGCAGTGCTGTACCAGCGGCGCCAGCTCTAGTGCAGCCCTAGGCCCTTCCCATCACCCATCTGCTCCGTTCCTGCAGTATACCTGGCCGCTCTCCGAAGCCCCTTATCCCTTTCTTAGGGATGGTGGAAGCTATGTCAGAGGGGAGCTAAGGGACTGCAGGCCTGGCAGCAGGATGTGCCTTGGCTGAGCCAAGTCCTGAGAGTAGCATCTCCATCTCCACTGTGCCCTCTGTGCATCCCTATCCTTGGCTTTCTGGGACCTGGGCTGCCCTCGATGCTCCAGACCTTCTCCACCAGTAATCCAGGTTATCACCCATGTCCTCCAGAGGAGCTTCCCCATTCAGGCCTCAGCCCTGTTGGCCCAGGTGGATCAGGGGGAGCCACTGGAGCACATGGGAGTTGGGAATGCTCCTCCTGTTGCACTGGTCCCCTAAGGCCTCAGGGTAGTTGTGTAGTGTGTGGATGACTCCACAAGACCTGGCTTCCAGACCGTTGCACTCAGGCAGGCTGGAGTGGCAGGGTAGCTGCTCTCCAGGGGCCCAAATGCCTTGGGTTCCTGCCCCATGGGCCCCTTCCCCTTCTGGGCAATATTGGGAAGGTCTGGAAATTCCTGGGATCTCAGGCAAGCCAGGGACAGCTGCCAGGCCTGAGGAAGACCTCTGAAGCTCCTCTCCACCTCCCCTTTCCCTCCCCTCTGGCTCCCTTCTCTTCAGCTCCCTACATGGGCTGGGGAGGAGACACCTGGTGGGCAGAGCTCAGGCAGAGGTTTGGATTTCAGCTCCCCACTTCCTGGGCTGCATGGCCTTGGCGGATGTCAGACTTCTGGTCTTGCTTCTCCATGTGGACAGTGAATATTTGGCTCATTCTTCACTGGGTTCTTCTGACATTGAAACCTACAGGTGTTTGCCAAGTGCCTAGCCGAGAGCAGGTGAGCACTAACTGCTTCTCCCACCTCTCTCCTGTCCAAGCTGGTAGAGCTGAGAGCATGAGGAGAGGAGTGCACAGTGGCCAGTGATGCAGCCCTGCACACAGGCAGCCTAGGCCTCACCGCACGCTGCCTCTCACCAGCTCTGCAACCTTGGGCAAGGGATTCATCTCTCTGTGCTTTAGTTTTCTCACCTGTAAAATGATCAGTATCTATATGTATTTCCAAGTGCTGTGAGGATTAAAGTTTATCACTGTAGATCTTAGGATGAGTCCTGGCATTTACCAAGGATTGGATATGTATTATTATCACTTTTTTTTTTTTTGAGACAGTCTCACTCTGTTGCCAGGCTAGAGTGCAGTGGCATCATCTCAGCTCACTGCAGCCTCCGCCTCCCGGGTTCAAGAGCTTCTCCTTCAGTCACCGAGTCGCTGGGACTACAGGTGTGCCACCACACCCAGCTAATTTTTTTTGTATTTTTAGTAGAGATGAGGTTTCACTATGTTGGCCCAGGATGGTCTTGATCTTCTGACCTCGTGATCTGCCCTCCTTGGCCTCCCAAAGTGCTGGGATTACAGGCATGAGCCACCACACCAGGCCCTTATTATAACTATTAAGTGTGGTGGGCAACAGGGACCCCCATCTCTAAAAAATTAGCCAGGTGTGGTGGTGCACCTGTTGTCCTAGCTACTCAAGAGGCTGGGGAGGGAGGATCACTTGAGCCCAGAAGTTTGAAGCTGCAGTGAGCTAGGACTGTGCCACTGCACTCCAACATGGGTGACAGAGTGAGACCCTGTCTCAAAAAGAAAAAAAAGGCAGAGAAAGAGAGCCCTTAGCTACTCCTTTAGAGGCAGACCAGACCCTTCTGCCTCACAGATTTATCTTTATATTTGCCCCTTACTTTATCTTGTGCCTTGAGAAATTGCTGGTGAGGGAGGTGTGTCCACTGGGCAGCTATACAGGATGGAGGCTCTAGGGCATTTCCACTCCCAGCAGCCAGGTTCCCTCACCCTGAGCTCACACACTGGTGAGATTAGCTACAGTAACACCAGAAACACATTGGGATGGATCAGGGATATCTTCATGGGTTCTTTTCAGGCAGCCATTGCTGGACAAGGCACAGGAGCCACCTTCCTTTCTGAGCTCTTCAAGGGACAAGAACTAGAGCCATCAGAGGTGGGGCTCACTGTGGCCCCTCTCAAGCTGTCCACCTCCAGGGATATACACCCTGCCTTGGCTGCTACAGCTTTTTCTCTCCACTGCACTAGGGGCATTCAGCAACCTAATGACATCTATCTCTGAACATCTCTTCATCCCGTGCTCCAGATCTGGCAACCTGTACCCTGGAACCAGGAGTGGACCCTACCCAAGCTGTCTGTACCACTCCCCATCCCTCGCCCCCAATCTTAAAAGCCCTCTGTCCCCCCACCTTAAACCCCAGTTAGATACCCATGCTGGGCAGGTCAGTTGACAATTTATGCAGAGGTATTAGTTTTAATGTATTACTGTCCCAGGGTAGCTTTGAAAAAAGTATCTGTGAAAGGCAACATGGGCTGGCGCAGTGGCTCACACCTATAATCCCAGAACTTTGGGAGGCTGAGGTTGGTGGATCACCTGAGGTCGGGAGTTCAAGACCAGCTTGGCCAACATGGTGAAACCCTGTCTCTACTAAAAATACTAAAATTAAACTGTCTTGCATGCTCTGCTCATGTACCCCAAAACCTAAAATCCAATAAAAAATTAAAAAAATAAATAAAAATTAAAAAATACTAAAATTAGCCAGGTGTGGTGGCATGAACCTATAATCCCAGCTACTTGGGAGGCTGAGGCACAAGAATCACTTGAACCCAGGAGGTGGAGGTTGCAGTGAGCCAAGATCCTGCCATTGCACTCCAGCCTGGGCGACAGAGTGATACTCTGTCTCCAGAAAAAAAAAGGCAATATGTAGGCCCAAAGACTGTTCCCAAGTGGTAGAATTTTAGCACTGTACCAGCCTAGGTAAAAAATATAAAAATCAACTGGGCATGGTGGCACTCATCTGTAGTCCCAGCTTCATGGGAGGCTGAGGTGGGAAGATCACTTAAGCCCGCCAGGAGGCAGAGGTTGCAGTGAGCTGAGATCGCACCACTGCACTCCAGTCTGGGTGACAGACAGACACTGTCTCAACAAAGAGAGAGGAAAAAAAAAGAATTTTAGCACAGTGAGCAGCCATTGTGGGAGACACCCTGGGTAAGGCATGTAGGAAGTATTGAAGGACCTTTCTAGCCCTGCTGTCTGCCTTTTTTTTTTTTTTTTTTTTAAAGAGACTCACCCAGCCTTTAGCAAAGTGGTGTGATTATAGCTCACTCTATCCTCAAACTCCTGGACTTAAGCGATCTTCCTTCCTCAACCTTCTGAGTAGTTAGGACTTCAAGTGCATGCCACCATGCCTGGCTAATTTTTAAATGTTTTGTAGAGATGAGGTCATGCTGTTTTGTTGCCCAGGCTGGCCTCATGAGAGCTTGCCTCAGCCTCCCACCCCCAGCACTTTTCTTTCTTTTCTTTCCCCCCAGGCCCATACTGGCTTTTTTTTTTTTTTTTTTTTTGAGACAGTCTTAGTCTATTGCTCAGGCGGCTGGAGTGCAGTGGTATGATCTCAGCTCACTGCAACCTCTGCCTCCTGGGTTCAAGTGATTCTCCTGCCTCAGCCTCCCAAGTAGCTGGGATTACAGGCGCCTGCCACCACACCAGGCTAATGTTCGTACTTTTAGTAGACATGGGGTTTCTCCATGTTGGCCAGGCTGGTCTTGGAACTCCTGACCTCAAGTGCTCCGCCTGATTTCAGCTTCTCAAAGTGCTGGGATTACAGGCGTTAGCCACCATGCCTGGCCAACCCCCTGACTTTTCAAATGATGCTGCTCAAAGCCCTGACTTGGCCTACTTTGAACAGCAACCTTGTATCTGCTGTTGTCAACCTGAAGACCTCTCAAATGCCAGCTTCAAGCAGGTGTGAATTGGCCAGAGTATTGGCCAGTGTCAGATCTCACAGGAGTCCTGTGTTGTGGGTGTGGCTTTCAGCTGCAGGGGGTTGTGCTTAGCGGGGAAAGCCAGGCAGGTCGCCCTCACAGCCAGGTAATGTGGAGGTGAGACCTGGCCACCCATCCTTGGGGACCTGAGAAAGTGTACTTCACCTTGGGGTGAAGGCTAGGAGGGGCGCCAGAGGGCCCAGTACCCTCCTCAGTGCTTAAGGGGCAGAGCCACCTGCAGCAATGGTATCTGCATATCGGCCCCTCTCCAACTTCTTCCTCCTGCTGAATCAGTTCCCTCAAAGCCCAAAAGCTGTCTCTGTTTCTGTCTCCCTGGGAAAAATGCATGGACTCTGCCTGGTGATAGACTGAAGCCAGAAGAGTGCCACACCCATGCCTTAATTCCTTGATAGATGTTCTCAGATTTAGGAGACTTCTTAGTCAAAGATGAGGGAGGCTGGATGCCGTGGCTCGTGCCTGTTATCCCAGCACTTTGGGAAGCTGAAGTGGGAGGATCCCTTGGAGCCAGGAGTTTGAGACCAGCCTAGGCAACAAAGCAAGACCCTATCCCTACCAAAAAAAAAAAAAAATCTAGGTGATGCTCTTTGCCCTGCCTAACTTCCCATTAATTAATAGCTTTCTTTGAGCAACATTATTTATTGTGAACTTTTTTTTTTTTCTTTTTGAGACGGAGTTTCGCTGTTGTTACTCAGGCAGGAGTGCAATGGCACGATCTCGGCTCACCGCAACCTCTGCCACCTGGGTTCAAGCAATTCTCCTGCCTCAGCTTCCCAAGTAGCTGGGACTACAGGCGCGCACCACCATGCCCAGCTAATTTTTGTATTTTTAGTAGAGACGGGGTTTCACCTTGTTGACCAGGATGGTCTCGATCTCTTGACCTCGTGATCCACCTGCCTCAACCTCCCAAAGTGCTGGGATTATAGTCGTGAGCCACCGCACCCAGCCAACTTTTTTTTTTTTTTGAGATAGCGTCTCGCTCTGTCACCCAGGCTGGAGTTAGTAGAGACGGGTTTCACTGTGTTGGCTAGGTTGGTCTCAAACTCTTGACCTCAGATGATCCTCCCACCTCGACCTCCCAAAGTGCTGAGATTACTAGGTGTGAGCCACCATGCCTGGCCTGTAAACTTTCTTCTTTTTTTTTTTACTTTGAGACAGTTTCGATCTGTCACCAGCCTGGAGTGCAGTGGTGCAATCTCCGCTCACTGCAACCTCTGACTCCCAGGTTCAAGCACTTCTCCTGTTTCAGTCTCCCAAGTAGCTGGGACTGCAGGCACACACTACCACACCCATCTAATTTTTGTAGTTTTAGTCGAGACGGGGTTTCACCATTTTGACCAGGATGGTCTCAATCTCGACCTTGTGATCCACCTGCTTAAGCCTCCCAAAGTGCTAGGATTACAGGTGTGAGCCACTGTGCCTGGCCCTGGCCTATGAACTTTCAAACACAATAAAAGTAGAGAGTAGAATAACAAATCCCCGTGAGCCCACCACCCAACTTCAGTAATTATCTATCAATTCATGACCGTCCTGTTCACCCCTGACTGCTTCCCCTCATTCTACACAGTTTTTTTTTTTCTTTTTTTTTTTTTTTTTTGAGATGGAGTTTTGCTCTGTTGCCTAGGCTGGAGTGCAATGGTGCAATCTTGGCTCACTGCAAGCTCCACCTCCCGGGTTCAAACAATTCTCCTGCCTCAGCCTCTCAAGTAGCTGGGATTACAGGTGCCTGCTACCATGCCTGGCTAATTTTTATATTTTTATTAGAGAGGGGGTTTCACCATGTTGGTCAGGCTGGTTTTGAACCCCTGACCTCAGGTGATCCACCCGCCTCAGCCTCCCAAAGTGCTGAGATTACAGGTGTGAACCACCATGCCCAGCCTGCACAAGTTCTCTATAGAAGTCGAAGAGTGATGAGTTCAGAAAGCCAAGGGGCAGATGTGGGTCTGAAGGATTTTGTGCCTAAGGCCCTCTCCTTGCTCCCAGGCAGGATGAAGTAACAATGAAGCATCCACCTCTTAGTTTTGTGGCCTCTATGGATGACATCTGTCTCCTTGAACCAGTTCAGAGTTTGAGTAGCACTGGACCCTGTCTTTGTGTGTGTGTGTGTGTGACAGCATTTCTCTCCTGTTGCCCAGGCTGGAGTGCAGTGGCACAATATCGGCTCACTGCAACCTCCAATTCCTGGGTTCAAGTGATTCTCCTGCCTCAGTCTCATAAGTAGCTGGGATTACAGGCATGAGCCACCACACCTGGCTAATTTTGTATTTTTATTAGAGGGAGTTTCTCCATGTTGGTCAGGCTGGTCTCTAACTCCTGACCTCAGGTGATCCACCTGCCTTGGCCTCCCAAAGTGCTAGGATTACAGGTGTGAGCCACCACACCTGGCCTGGAACCTGTCTTAGGAGAAGGGACTGAAGCGGGTTCCTCTGTTGTTAAGCTCCTTGGAGGTGCCTGGCTGCTACTACTGTCCCAGAGAGGTGATGACGAATGATGGATGTGTCCAGCAGCAGTTTGCCCCACTGAGGCAGGGGCTTCTCCTAAGCCCTGACAGAGCCCTTCCAGCAGGCAGAAATCCCTGTGCTGGGCTCCCATCTCTTAGGAATGGAGTCTTTCAGGCCTTGAGGTCCCGCATTTTCCATGATGCTCCGTCAAGCAGCTGAAAGCACCCCCACCTCCAGGGAGCGTGAGTCCAGAGTCCTTGGTCTAATACATCTGTATTGAAATTGCTGCCTCCCCATGTTCATCTTTGCTCTTTTTCCCTTTAGCCCAAGGCTATGAAGGCTTCATTTGGTACTGGGCATGGTCACTCCTAGCATTCCTCATTCTGTTGCTAACAACAACCTACCCTACTGTCGAGGCATTATGCTCACTGCTTCATGTATATTAACTCTTTTTTTGTTAGTTTGTTTTGAGATGGAATCTCACTCTGTTACCAGGCTGGAGTGCAGTGGTGTGATCTTGGCTCACTGCAACCTCCGCCTCCCAGGTTCAAGCAATTCTCCTGCCTCAGCCTCCCAAATAGCTGGGACTATAGACGTGTGCCACCATGCCCGGCTAATTTTTGTATTTTTAGTAGAGAGGAGGTTTTACCATATTGGCCAGGATGGTCTCAATCTCTTGAACTTGCGACCTGCCCGCCTCGGCCTCCCAAAGTGCTGGGATTACAGGTGTGAGCCACGTTGCCCGGCCTAACTCATTTAACCTTCACAATGACCCTATGAAAGAGGTACCATACCAACCCAATTGATAGCTGGTTTGCAAGATTAGGAGGGAGAAAGGACCCAGGGCACAATATGAGGGAAAACTCTTACCCCGAGGTCCCAGGCTGAATGCTCTTTGTGCCTGTGAACCACAGCCTATTGTGTGTCTGGAGTCAGGGACTCCAGTTAAAGTGAGATTTTGGCTGGATGTAGTGGTGTAATCCCAGCACTTTGGAAGACCAAGGTAGAAAGATTGCTTGAGGTCAGGAGTTCAAAACCAGTGTGGGTAACAGCAAGACCCTATTTCTACAAAAAAAAAAAGGAAATTTTAGCTGAGTGTGGTGGCGTGTGCTTATAGTTCCCACCACTACTCAGGAGGCTGTGGTGGGAGGATCACTTGAGCACAGGAGTTTGAAGTTACAGTGAGCTATGACGGCACCACTGCACTTCAGCTTGGACAACAGAGGGAGACCCTGTCTCTAAAATACGTGGAGATTTTCACATCAACACATCCCTGCACAGCATGCCAAGATCTGCCACCTGCTGTAATAGTACAATTACATTCAATATGTAATAATATAGTCTCAGGGATGTTGTGACAATATGATTACAGCTGTCACATGTGTGGCCAGCCAGGTTCAATGCCCTGAGGCTGGGTGAGGTGGGGCAGGGGACACAGCCTAAAATGCCAGGCCTCAGGAAGCCATTTGGTTTAGCAGACATTGTTTATTAAAGGAGTTCCCTATGCCAGATCAAAAGCCTAGATGATTAAGACACTGTGAGTGCCTTTAAGTGGTTGGGGACGTTCACGATGTGGTGCAGACAGATAGACTTTCCCATCATTCTTTCATGTAATCATACAACAGATATTTGCACCTGTATGTGCAAAGCATTGGGGTAGGTAGGCCTCAGTGAACACAGAATAATACAGCAAAGACCCCCCTCCCCATGGCTCCTCCCACCACCCACCAATACATTAGGGGATGGTCTAATGGACTGTTCCTGGAACATGAAGTGGGGCAGGCATTAGGGGTGGCAAGGGGACAGGTGTTGATATGATCAGTTACGTACTGTTCATAATAACTAAATCAGGGGAGGGGGTATAATACTTAGAGCCTATAGAGAGTAAATCAGACAAGATCAAATGTTGACGAAAATATGGAGGAAATGAAACTCCTGGGTTTTGCAGAAAATCTAAGTCAGTGCTGTGGTCTGAATGTATGTGTCCCCGTTGAATTCATATGTTGAAACCTAACCCCCAAAGCAATGGCATTAAGAGGTGGGGCCTTTGGGGATGGGCGTGGTAGCTCACACCTGTAATCCCAGTACTTTGGGAGACCAAGGTGATCTATTTTGATCACTTGAAATCAGGAGTTGGAGATCAGCCTGGCCAACATGGTGAAACCCCGTCTCTACTAAAAATGCTAAAATTAGCCAGGTGTGGTGGTGTGCACCTGTAATCCTGGCCACTCAGGAAGCTGAGGCAGGAGAATCACTTGAACCCAGGAGGTGGAGATTGCAGCAAGCCAAGATCATGCCACTGCACTCCAGCCTGGGTGACAGAGGAGACACCATCCCAAAAAAATAACATAAAGGGGTGGGGCCTTTAGTAGGTGGTTAGGTCATGAGGGTGGAGGTTATGAATGGGGTTAGCACCTTATAAACAAGGCTTGAGGGAACCCTTCTGTCCCTTCTACCATGTGAGGGTGTAGTGAGAAGACCCTGTATCTTTGAAGCAGAGAACTCTCCCTGGACACCGGATCTGCTGGCGCCTTGATCTTGGACTTCCCAGCCTCTAGAGCTGTGAGAAATAATTTTTCGTTGTTTACGAATTACCCAGGGTAAGGTGTTTTGTTATAGTAGCCTGAATGGACTAAGCTGGCGTGACCTTGTTGGAAAACTGTCAGTTTCTACCAAAAGATGAACATACACATAAACTATGATCCAGCAGTTCCACTCCTGGATGTGTACACCACAGAAACAAAAGCTATTCCACCGAGACATGGGCAGGAATGTTTCTAACCACCACACTGACTTGTAGCCCTAAACTCGAAACAACACAAATGTCCATCCACTGTTGAAGTTATGGTGAAGTCACAGGATTGAATACTTCTGTACAGCAATGAATATAAATGAAAATATTGCTATGCACAGCAACATAGATAAATTTCACAGACATGATGTCGAGCGAAAGAGGTCAGAGTCCTCACCACTTTCTGTTGAGAAACATTAAGTGTACCCTGCCCCCATGGCTCCTCGTAGTTTGTAATTACTGGTAGGCAGGTTACAGCTGCCTACCTGTTGTATTCCTGAGTTATGTGTATATGTATATGTAGAACACCTGTGTTATTAACAATCACCTGTCAAAGAGCAAATAAATGCGTGGATGAATCTCTGCTGGGGCCCTTCAGTCCTGGAGAGCTGCAAGCATCAGAGGCTCTCAGGCTGTTTGTCCCCAGGATAGATCCACTCTGTTGGCTGTCTGGTTGTCTGCCTCTCACTGCCTTGTAATACCTTCAGCCCACCTGGGTGGGAGTCTCCCGGCCAAGCAGGTTCTCAGCAGTACTCATTGTATGATTCCATTCATACAAAAAGTACAGAAATAAGCAAAACTGATCTATAGTGTTAGAAGTCGGGGGGAATGGTTGAAGGTGGGAAGGATACTGAGGAGGGACACCCTGGGGTGCTAGTCTACCTCCTCATCTGGGTGTTGATTCTTTCTTATGTTAAGATTGATTCAAACTGGGAGTATATCCAGTTGGCGTCTAAACTCCCTGTTGGACATGTGGAAATAAAGACCACCTAAATGAGCAGAGAGGCCATTTAGTCATTTGGCAGGAGTCAAAGGCAGGTAGGGACTGGGAAACATTATAGTGGAAAAAAAGAGAAAGCTTCAGGTGTGCTGTGATTTAAGGTTGTTGACATGGGGACAGAGCGGATTAACTGTGGAGGGGCATCTTTGGTTGGTTGGGGGACATATTTGTCTTTCTCTGATGAGTCCGGAGTTGGAAGAGGGGGTGTGGTGGCTGGGGATTGGGAAAAAGCTGGCAGCCACTGACTTCAGCAGTCACTGAGTTCAGACTGTCCTGGGTCCGATTGCTGTTGAGGCTGTGGTTTGGCTTCCCGGGCTGGTGACAGCAAGGGTTTCTGGTCAGAGTCTATTGTCATATGTGGCCTGGCCATTGTTTGGTTATATGTTCAGTCTCTCAGAAGGAAGGGCATTGACTCTCCTGGAAGCGGGGACAGATAGCATTTCCTCCAGCCACCCACACCTCCCTGGGGTCAGTGGTGCCTGCCTGTGAGGGAGAGTCCAATGGTTAGAGGGCTCTGCTCCAAGTCATTGCTTACTACACTCACAAACATTCTTTGTTCTTTAAGGCCTGGCTTAAAGCCCAGATCCTACAGGAAACCTTGATTATACCCCTCTCTTTATTAAGCTTCCTAAATTCCCGTGGCTTACTTCAAACCCTGCTTTTATGTGTAAATGTTGACTTCCTTGCCTACGTTTTAAAAACCTAGAGCTGGGCATGATGGCTCCAGCCTGTACCCAATGACTCAGGAGACTGAGGTGGGAGAATTGCTAGAAACCAAGTGTGTGAGGGCCGGGTGCAGCTCACGCCTGTAATTCTAGCACTTTGGGAGGCCGAGGTGGGTGGATCACCTGAGGTCAGGAGTTCAAGACCAGCTTGGCCATCACACTGAAACCCCATCTTTATAAAAAATATATATATATTTTTTAAAAAAATACAAACTTAACTGGGCTTGGTGGTACATGCCTGTAATCCCAGCTACTGTGGAGGCTGAGGCAGGAGAATGGCTTGAACCTGGGAGGCAGAGGTTGCGGTGAGCCAAGATCACACCAGTACACTCCAGCCTAGGCAACAAGTGAAACTCCGTCTCGAAAAAAGAAACCAAGAGTTCGAGCGCAGCCTGGGTAACATAGCTAGACCACATCTCATAAAATAAAATTAATTTAGTCAGGCATGATGATATGCACCTGCAGTCACAACTACTTGGGAGACTGAGGTGGGAGGATTTTTGAGCCCAGGAGTTCAAGGCTGCAGTGAACTATGATCTCACCACTGTACTCGTGACAGTGAGACCCAGACTCAAAAAAATAAAAATAAAAAACCCTGAATATCTTCCTTCTACTTCTTCAGTGTTGTTTTTATTTTAAAAAAACAAAACTGGCCGGGCGGGGTGACTCACGACTATAATCCCAGCACTTTGGGAGCCCGAGGCGGGTGGATCACGAGGTCAAGAGATCGAGACCATCCTGGTCAACAAGGTGAAACCCCATCTCTACTAAAATACAAAAATTAGCTGGGCATGGTGGTGCGCGCGTGTAATCCCAGCTACTCGGGAGGCTGAGGCAGGAGAATTGCTTGAACCCAGAAGGCGGAGGTTGCGGTGAGCCGAGATCATGCCATTGCCCTCCAGTCTGGGTAACAACAGCGAAACTCTGTCTCAAAAAAAAAAAAAAAACTACAACTTTTTACTGAAGTATAATGTAAATGCTGTAAAAGCTAGTGAAAGACCCAAGGGAGGTGGAAGGGTAGGAAGGACAGGCAAAATGAAGAAGGGAGGCCCTGGGTTCTTGTCCTGAGTCTGCAGCCAGCGCCCACTTTCCTCACCTTCCAGGAACTGTTAACTGTGAGGCTGGACCAGTTGATGTCAGATCCGTCCTGCCCCAGAGCTCAGTCTCTCCACCCTTGGGTGTCCTTGGCACAAGGCAGGCTAGGCTACACAAGGCAGGCTAGCTTCCTCTACCTCTGTCCCTCCGCCCCCATCCCCAGGTGCCATTTCCTTACCATCTGAATCACTGATTTTCTTGCAGTCAGACGCTATCTTTAATCAATTCGCTTGTATTTAACATAAGAAAGAAAAACTCTTTCATTATCACATACAACTGGAAATCAGCTTCTTGCTGGAGGCCTATCCAAAGGAATTAGAGAAGAGAGAAAGTGGTAATTGGTGAAAGAATTACTTTTCTTTCCCCACTTGCTGTCCTGATGATGTCCTTAGAATTGTGAGCCCGTGGACACTTCTATGCAGTAAATCTGCTATTATTACTTCTAGAACTACAGTTATGAGGGTCCAGATGGCCACTTGTAATGAGAGGCTACTGCAGTGAAGATGAAGAGAACTTGCAGTCAGGGGGCTTGTCTGTGACCTCTCCCCCTTTTCCCTCCTGCCGTCTCCTTGGGGATGCGGGGGGATGGGGAGAGCAGGGAGAAGTTTCTACTTAAAGATGAGCTCCCAGCAATTAAGACAAAGAATGTGTGAGAGCAAAACAGAAGTCAAAGTCCTTTGGAACTTAATCTTGAAAGTGACATCGGGGCACATTTTTTTTTTTTTTTTTTGAGATAAGGGCACGCTCTATCACCCAGGTTGGATTAGAATGGCTCAGTGCAGCCTCAAACTCCTGGGCTTAAGCAATCCTCTCACCTCAGCCTCCTGAGTAGCTGGGACCAGAGGTGCCCACTACCATGCCTGGCTAACTTTATTGATTTTTAGTAGAGATGAGGTCTTACTGTGTTGCCCAGGCTAGTCTCAGACTCCTGGGCTCAAGTGAACCTCCCACCTTATCCTCCCAAAGTGCTAGGATTACAGGCACGAGCCATTGCATCCGGCTCCATCACTTCTGTAAATTGCAGGCAAGGGGCAATTTACCCAGAAGCAGGAACCACTGGGAGCACCATTATAACAGCTGTCTTCTCCAGGAGGGGAATTTGATTCTGCCCTACAAATGACATATGCATGTGTTTTTTGACCCAGCAATTCCATTTCTAACAGTCTAAGCCAAAGATACATTGGCAAAAATAAAGATGTATGTACAAGGCTAGTCATTATAGCACACTTTGTAAACAGCATGTCTATATTGGAGTGCTATGCAGCTGTGAATAGAAATGAGGACTATCTCTATACTGCTATGGAGTGAACTCCATGATGTTTTGCTAAGAGGAAAAAAAAGTGGAAAACTGTACATAGACTCTTTGGGCTGGGCATGGTGGCTCATGCCTGTAATCTCAGCACTTTGGGAGGCCGAGGCAGGCAAAACACAAGATCAGGAGATTGAGACCATCCTGGCCAACATGGTGAAACCCCGTCTCTACTAAAATACAAAAAAATTCTCTGGGCTTGGTGGTAGGCGCCTGCAGTCCCAGGCAGTCAGGAGGCTGAGGCAAGAGATTGACTTGAACCCGTGAGGTGGAGGTTGCAGTGAGCTAAGATCACATCACTGCACTCCAGCCTGGTGACAGAGCAAGACTGTCTCAAAAAATATATAATAATAATAATATAGAATCTTTTACTTAAGAAAGAATAAATAAATCTTTGAGTTTGTGCTTGGTGTCCTATGGGAGAGGATTCTTGGAAGTTCAGGACTCCCCCACGTGACTTTTTGTTGATTTTGTTTTGTATCTTTCTTTTTTTTTGAGATGGAGTTTCAGCTCTTGTTAACCCAGGCTGGAGTGCAATGGCGCGATCTCGGCTCACCGCAGCCTCTGCCTCCTGAGTTCAAGCAATTCTCCTACTTCAGCCTCCCGAGTAGCTGGGATTACAGGCGCGCGCAACCATGCCCCACTAATTTTTGTATTTTTAGTAGAGATGGGGTTTCACCTTGTTGACCAGGATGATCTCGATCTCTTGACCTCGTGATCCACCCACCTCGGCCTCCCAAAGTGCCGGGATTATAGGCGTGAGTCACCGCGCTCGGCCTTTGTATCTTTCTTGTAACAAATCTTAGCCATGAGTACTATTTTTAAAAAAAAGAGTTTTGACTAGAATCTCTTAATTTAATGGTAGGGTATTATTGTATCCAAGCAAGTTATAGAGGAAATGCCCCGCTCTGAGTTTCAAATTAAGAGTCTTTTATTGCTGGCAACGCTCAAAATTCCGCCTGGAGGAAGGGGCTTGATTTCCCTTTATACCTTGATTTAGGTGGGGGGGCGGGGGAGCCTAGCTGAAGCGGAATTTTACAGAAGCAGAACAAGCAAGTTAGAAAGGAAGCTGGTAACCAGGGGGCAGGAGGTTCCCAGGACTGTTGATTGCTAAGGGTATTTCCATACAATCATCAAGTGGGGCCGAGCACGGTGGCTCACACCTATAATCAAGCACTTTGGGAGGCCCAGGCAGGTGGATCACAAGGTCAAGAGATCGAGACCATCCTGGTCAACAAGGTGAAACCCCGTCTCTACTAAATTAGCTGGGCATGGTGACGCTCGCCTGTAGTCCCAGCTACTCGAGAGGCCGAGGCAGGAGAATTGCTTGAACCCAGGAGGTAGAGGTTGTGGTGAGCCGAGATCGCACCATTCATTGCACTCCAGCTTGGGTAACAAGAGCGAAACTCCCTCTCAAAACTCCGTCTCAAAAAAAAGAAAAAAAAAATCATCAAGGGGAATAGCAGGGGGAACCTTCCATACAATCAATCACCAAGGAAGGTATTCACAATAGCAGGTAGACTTGCCAAGCAGGATG